ACATACCTGCATCCGAACATCCCATCCACATCCTCCTCCACAGCATCGTCCTCCACGACGACAACCACGGTCACGCGATATACACCAGCTTGCCCATCACCCACTAATCTCCTATGCAGCTATGCTGAACACCAGCTTGGAGTACAAGCAAGGCCTCTCTACTGCCTTCAGTCACGGATACAGCTTTTAAACCAACACGGGTTATTACAGGCGATGCGGGCCGGTCGTCCGGCTGGGCTCTCTCAGCGCTACAAACTGACCACATATCCTGCCCTATTTGAATAAAACAATAATGTTCCATCTATTATCCCCTTCTAAATTGATACCCGCTCTCCTGGGGCTCGGCCACTGTAGCACCAGTACCAGGACTTAAGTAGGGAGTCAGTGCAGCCTAATGCTACTGTTGTAATGAGATAAATTTGGCGTCTAAATGATTGGGAAACAAAAGATCAACTCTCGGCGAGCAAGCAAAGGATACGACAATTTTCAACAATTTAGTAATTTGGCCATTGAGATGAATTACTGCAGCTTGCTGGTAGCTATTAGGACAAGTGTAGGGTGGGAATTGTGGGAATTACATGCGGAGACTGGAATTAGCAGTGTTTAGGGCATGATGGATGGGCGGGTTATGTGAACATAACCCAGTCCTTGTGCTTCTATTTCCGCTAGTGGTCATTACAACCAGGACGACAGCTGTCACAGTCCATGATGGACCTTTGTATGACATGTCCAGATAGTCTCCACAATCACCTCCACCACCCCAACCCACTACCAACACATCACCACCCCTCCTGCTGCATCTTGTATGTTTATGTACATAATACACCCACCCTCGATGCTTACACTCAACTGGCCATGGTTCACCATACATGCTTACACTCAACTGGCTAGAGAGTCACCCTACATGCTTACACTCAACTGGCTGTGTTTCACCCTACGTGCTTACACTCAACTGACCAGAGGTTCACCCTATGTGCTTACACTCAACTGGCTGTGTTTCACCCTACGTGCTTATACTCAACTGGCCACGGTTCACCCTATGTGCTTATACTCAACTGGCCACGGTTCACCCTATGTGCTTACACTCAACTGGCCAGTGGTTCACCCTATGTGCTTACACTCAACTGGCCACGGTTCACCCTATGTGCTTACACTCAACTGGCCACGGTTCACCCTATGTGCTTACACTCAACAGGCCAGAGGTTCACCCTACGTGCTTACACTAAACTGGCCAGAGGTTCACCCTACGTGCTTATACTCAACTGGCCAGGGGTTCACCCTACATGCTTATACTCAACTGGCCAGGGGTTCACCCTACGTGCTTACACTCAACTGGCCATGGCTCACCCTACGTGCTTACACTCAACTGGCCATGGCTCACCCTACGTGCTTACACTCAACTGGCCATGGCTCACCCTACGTGCTTACACTCAACTGGCCATGGCTCACCCTACGTGCTTACACTCAACTGGCTATGGTTCACCCTACGTGCTTACACTCAACTGGCCATGGCTCACCCTACATGCTTACACTCAACTGGCCATGGCTCACCCTACGTGCTTACACTCAACTGGCCATGGCTCACCCTACGTGCTTACACTCAACTGGCCATGGTTCACCCTACGTGCTTACACTCAACTGGCCATGGCTCACCCTACATGCTTACACTCAACTGGCCATGGCTCACCCTACGTGCTTACACTCAACTGGCCATGGCTCACCCTACGTGCTTACACTCAACTGGCTATGGTTCATCTTGTATGTTAATGTACCTAATACATCCAGCCTTGAGTCCACTAGCCCAAGCTGGTCTATTTGCATTCGTTTCAGTAGATCTCTCTCCCTACATATTGATCATCAGCTGACGCTACAAGAGAAACAAATGTCACAAGACTTTGGTTTTGGACGCGTGGAACAACTTGCATGCTGAACAGCTGTTTCCCCAGCATTCAGGTCCATCGCTACTTGTGTTTTTACTACCTCCAAATTGAAATGGAGATCCACTGAGATGGCAACCTGTGGAAAATCTAGACTTGCTTCATTTAAGGCCATAGTATTACAGTAAGGAACCCGTGAAGATTCCTGGGTAGAATAGGTCTTCAGCAACCCATGCTTGCCGTAAAAGGCGACTATGCTTGTCGTAAAAGGCAACTAACGGCATTGGGTGGTCAGGCTCGCTGACTTGGTTGAAGCATGTCATCGATCCCAATTGCGTGGATCGATGCTCATGATATTAATCACTGGATTGTCTGGTCCAGACTCGATTATTTACAGACCGCCGTCATATAGCTGGAATATTGCTGAGTGCGGCGTTTAACAACAAACCAACCAACCAACTATTACAGTAAGGGCTGGGCGGAAGGGAAAATAATCTGGTTCTGGGACTGTGAGACAGACTATGACATCATTGCACCTTTGGAGGTCAGCCATAACAATCAGTCTAAAAGAATGACAACTTAACCACATGTAATGACCAAACTACACATTGTCCACTTCTTGTACACCCACTGTTTGTCCACTAACTAGGCACACAACTGGCCATCACATGCTGTCGTCACTGTTATTGAGGGGTCATCCATCCCCTATGCTGATCCACTGCAGCTGCCACCTGCTGACATGCATCCCCACACCAGTCCAACCCCTTCCCTGTAACAACCCCATCATCAACCAATTGTCTCCCAAGGTCATTGTTACACCCCACATCATCCCACCACTTGAACAGCGTATTTAATCCCCACCCCAGTCACCTCCTAATTGTCTCCCCAGGCCATAGCTGCCACCCCGCACCATCCTTCCATTGAACAGGGTATTTAACCCACCCTACAATCATCCACTTGGACACACACCCCCAGAACACACCCAGTCCTGCCTGAACTGATGTCTCCTGTGTGTCCTGACTGAGATGTACTGGGGACGAGGCAATGGCTGACACAGACCCCCACGTTGGACAGCATCAGAGGTTGAATCTGTCACCACATTGTCATATCTGACAAGTGATTCACCACTGCAGGGAAATTAAAGTCCATTTCACAACAGAATAAATCCTTATTTGTTTAGCCTGAGTTTGCCATCATGTTACTAATTGCTGGTCACACCAATCAGTGTCACCAGGCTGTGCCATCCACACTCAAATCAGCTCTCAGACAACACCCTCTTGCAGTGAGGACCTGGCTAGCATGCAGTGCTCCACAACAAAGGAGGTCCAGAGGTCCAAAGGCTGGCAGCTGTAATACTTGTATCTGGAGCCACCTACAGTGAATGAGTGAGTGAGTGAGTGAGTGAGTGAGTGAGTGAGTGGGTGGGTGGGTGGGTGGGTGAGTGAGTGAGTGAGTGAGTGAGTGAGTGGGTGAGTGAGTGAGTGGTCCAAGTGAGTGAGTGGTGTAAGTGAGTGATCCAATTGATTGAGTGAGTGAGTGAGTGAGTGAGTGAGTGAGTGAGTGAGTGAGTGAGTGGTCTAAGTGAGTGAGTGGTCTAAGTGAGTGAATGGTCTAAGTGAGTGATCCAAGTGAGTGAGTGAGTGAGTGAGTGAGTGGGTGAGTGGTCTAAGTGAGTCAGTGGTCCAAGTGAGTCAGTGGTCTAAGTGAGTGATCCAAGTGAGTGAGTGAGTGGTCCAAGTGAGTGAGTGGTCCAAGTGAGTGAGCGAGTGAGTGGTCCAAGTGAGTGAGCGAGTGAGCAAGTGAGTGAGTGAGTGAGTGAGTGAGTGAGTGAGTGAGTGAGTAGTCTGAGTGAGTGAGTGAGTGAGTGAGTGAGTGAGTGAGTGAGTGAGTGAGTGGTCCAAGTGAGTGAGTGAGTGAGTGAGTGTCCCTTAACAATATTCCTACAATATTACATCAGGGGCACCAGAAATGGACTCCTCACATTGAACCCATGTGGGCAACAAAACCTGGTCCTTCTGTGTGACCAACAAACACTTTAACCAGCAGGCCACCCCACTGCCCACACAGGCAAGGACATGTTGATAAGTCTATTTAGTAAGATTGCTTCAGCCAAAAGTAGGAACCTGGGACAAACCTTTGTTTTGAAAATGACAAACTCATAAATATTGTTTAAAAAATGTCCTGACTTGGAACTCCAAGTGAATCTATGTACTCAACAAAGCCTACAGTTCCCGGCTGTATCAAGTAAAGCACTACCCATGAATAGACAAATCTGACATTTACAGTTTATGGGATTTGGCTGTTTTAGAACTGCAGCAGGGGAATGAAGCTCCCCTGTGTTGATGCTGCAGTTTCATCCTCCCTTTGAACATCACCATTAAATCACCACCGGCACTAAAACATATTTCAAACTTGGAATGCTTGCCTGGAGTTACAGACAGTGATGCATATTGTATAGCAACCTACTCATCAATATATTGGCATCTCCTAAAGATATACGTGTGTGGAAGAGTGCTGGACGTTAATTAAGGGGCCTGGACCTACAGAATCGGACGCCTCCGTGGTGAAGTGGACAGAGCATCCCCGGCTGTGTGATACCAAACAATGTTAAAAAATGGTACTTGTTGTTACCTTGCCTGGCGCTCAGTTTCAAGGGGATTAAACATGGACTGGTCGTCTCGGAGGCAGTATACTGTGTCTGTGTGGGGTGTCTGTGTTAAACTGTGTCATGGTATCTCAGTGGGCTAGCACTATAAAACTGGCATAGTCCGGACTAGTACAAGTAGCCCCTTGTCCAACCTCCTTGTCCAAGTGCAATAGTTTTGAACACAATGTAACATTAAACCCCATTTCACCTTCACGATTTATCCTATAATATTTATTATTATTATCTAGGGATCTAGAGTTATAACTGTCTTCACAACATAAACTGTCCCAATAATCAGGAATTTCGGCCCTCTGTAATGGTCCTGTTATCAGTGAACTATAAGTCATCTCTACTAAGCCGAAACACTGGTCATCAATAGTTGTAACAGGACCTTGGAAGTTGTGCTGACATTTACTGCAACACTTTAGATGAAACACAACACTATGTTTGAAATTGTTTTACATTCAACTGAAAGTAGGTACCGGCAGCAGACCTGCAAACTAAGTGGAATCCATAGAAATTCTCAAAAATGGTCCGTTTTCACTTGCTCATTACTTTCTTATTTATGGAGTAATACAAATTAAAAAAAATACTAGTATAAGTTTGTCCTTTTTCCTTTCATGTGTTGTGTGTTATTTGTTCATTAAGAAACAATTATAAATCTGATTTTAATTAGCAATGCACTAATGACGTCATTAATTAGCGCCGCGGGACGCTCGCCTCAAGAAATTTACCCCAACGGAAAATACACGGTCTTTTTCTTCACTCTCGCGCATTTAACACAGACGACATAAAAATAATCTAAAAATAGTAACGAGGTCACAAGAGTTGGCTCTTTGTTTTGGTATCAAATTCATTTTAAAAACGTACTATTTTGTAACAGTAAATCGTAATTAAAATAATTATGCGTCTTTAAATCATCATAGCGTCAAAAGTATTTTTATAAACATAGCAAGTTCTGATATCAATCGATTCTTCATTCAATTTCCTTTCCAACAAATGTACGAAACGAAAGCTAGCTTATCTGTGGCGCATGCGCCGAACAATATAAAACGGTAAACCACACCCGTGATTTGAAAAAAAGCGCGCGACCCACCATGCAAGATGGCCAGCAAAGAGGATTCAACGGAGATCGCGTCAACTACGTTATATGAACAAATAGGTAATGTAGAACCCTTTTTTTTGCATTTATAAATCCTTTGAACCTTTATGAACTTATTGGAAAGTTCATAGTTGCCGATGTAAAATATAAAAGTGGCTATTTTAGTGATTCATATTGCTTCGATGATCTGGCTAAGAAAACGTAAACAAATCGCCGTGTGGAGAGTTGTTATTATTATTTACGTCGGTTTTCAATGCAGATTGATAAAAAATGAAGTTGTATTTAACATTTTGAATGATTAAACTAGGTAGCGTTTTAATATTGTATCTGAAGAATGATTATTCGAACATATATTTACGATCTGTTTTTGAGAATGTAGACACGAAAATTCTCGTAAAAATACAAGATGGCGGATGTCGGAGGTCAGCTTTCATGCAAATGTTTTATCACTGAATATGCATACATTTGTTGATACACGTTCACGTAAGGCTTTCTGATAGGACAAAATGTATTTAATTTGTATTTCGGTTGACGATTTACGTCTACTCAGGGATGTTGTATTAATGTCTCATGTTTGCAATGGAGTTTTATTTTTTTCATCAAAAGGTAAGTACAAGGTAAGTTTTTTTCAATATGCTTCAACATGGGGAAGGGGTCAGACATTGCACGCTTGTGACAGTTGTCCTTGTGCCTGGGGGATGGGGGTTGAAGTTTATAGCAGTATTGCTCCCAGACCTGGCGGGTAGCCAGGTGTGCGGAAGCTATGCCCGATTTTTTAAAAGTACTGATTTAACTTCGAAATTTTACTGCATCTGCCATCTTGTTTATTTGACTTATTGACTTTTGCCATTGACTTATTACATTTCTTGGTGTGAATGTTGTCCAAACTGCACGAAATTGCTTAAAATGCAATCAAATGTTTTAAAAATTTCTGGGGGGACATGCCCCCAGATCCCCCTAAACTTTTCCGCTTTTTTGGGAAAACCTGCTCACATCCCTGGTCTACTGTTATGATATTTATCGAAATAAAGCCACTTTCGTTTTGTAATTTCCAAATAAGAGTAATGTTCACACATCGATAATAAAATGATGAATTTTTTTTATTATGCATATTTTATTGTCAATCGGCTGACATCGATGAAAGTCATATATTATCAATTGATGTTTGCGGATTTTAACACGACAACACCTAGATTTACACATATTTTGGCGATTCATGGCTGCAGATAAGCACATTAATATATCAGCATTTCCAAGGAACTGTGATTTGTGTAAATAAATTCAGTCATACCAAAAGTGTATACTTTTTATTTAATAATGGAACTTAAATACATGCACATCATGATTTGTTTTTTTATCAATTAAAATGTTTATTGTTTACATATTTTTCTAATGATTTGAACTATTTATTGAATTTGTGGTTTTTTTTGCAGATGATGAAAACTTCAAGAGATTGAAATCTATTTTCAATTCATCTGGAAGAGGTAGACGGCCTTCAGCACCAACAAACCTGATCTGCAACAACCATCTTCTTATCCAGTTTTATTACCTGAAAGACGGAAACAAGACATGGGACAATGTTGCAGATTTTGCCTCAAGCATAACCGAACTTCAGCCTCCACGACTCCGAGCATTAATTCTTAAAACTCACAACAAAGCCAAACATTTGAAGGATAATGTTTTACAAGATTTTCTCTCTGTCGAGATGGATTTGGTTGGACATTATCTTCGCCAAGTGAACGTGTCACGGACTGAATTGCTCAATGAAACAAGTGCGTCGAGGTCTACTTTGGTCACTTTAACCAATGGAATAATCTTGGACTTGGTGTCATTTCAAAAGAAAGAAGATTTTCCTCTGTCCTGGATAATTCAAGCAGCAAGCTATCTTTCTGGTTTTCGGTTGGATAAACAGTCTTTCGGAAACGATTTGAAGAAAATTCAAGAATCTGCAAGGAAGAAAAGTAAAGCACGGCATAGGGACAAACAGGCGTACAGTGATTTCCACGCAACACCCTACCTCAACATTAAAGATACTGACATCACAGTGTCTAAAGTCTGTCCACCCTCGATACCTCAACCTGCCACACCTCTTTGTCGTAAGCGAATAAAGTTGGATGACATCCCTGTTGACAATAGCCCCAAGACAACATTGCCTTATGTATGTGAGGTTGAACTGTCACCACAGTCAGCAGTAGAAAATTTGCCCTTCATGTCCGCTTCTAAAGGTAACCAAATAAGAAAGCTTAAGGGTGAATTGGAGATTTCCATCAAAGAACTGAAATTAGAAAAAGAGAAAACAATGACACTCAATGACATTATTTCAGATAAGACATCTGAATTTGAGAAACAAATGGACCAAAAGAATCAAGATTTGGAATCAAGGGAAACTTTTATTTCATCATTAAAACAGGACATTCAACATTTAAAGTTGCAAGAAGAAGCCACCAAATCATCTCTGGAACGTACGAGGAAAGAACTTTCAAGACTTCGTCATGCTCCATACTACAAAAGAATGAAACGATGGGAGAAAAAGCTCACAGAGCAAGAGGTCAGCCTCAGCAAAGGTCATGGTCTCCAATCTCAACGGACAATAAAAAACCTAAAGCATAAGCTCAAAAAATCTCAAACACTTCTCTCCAATGCTAGGCAAGAAGAGAAGAAAAGGAAGGAAAAGGTCAGATTGAACTTGAAATTGCAGGAAGTTAAAGATGATCGGCTTCCAAAGGATGACAGGCATGAGGCATCACTACGTATGCGTGAGGGGAACTCTAACAAATTCACAAGGGATGTGGTCAAGTGTGTCATTGAACTGATGGGAAGAGCAGAGGTCTCAGGCAAGAACTGTGGTTCAGTCATTGACATTGTTGTGAGGAATTTGTTTGCTATAAAGCTTGATTCTAAAGACCTCCCATCCGAAAGATCTTCTCTTCGATATGCGGACAAAGGACATGTCCTTGCAAAACGACAGCTGGCAGAAACCCTTTTACAGGCATCAAATGTTGATCTACACTCAGATGGCACAACAAGGGATCACAGCAAAGTAGTTGGACACCAGCTCTCAACAGATGGAGGCCAACTGTTGTCATGTGGCTTTGCTCCTGTATGCAGAGAAGACACTGATACTCTGATTGATGTAGCATTCAACCTCTTGAAGGAGCTGGCAGACTTGTACCCAGAAAATGAAATTGATGCTGTCTTTCAAACAATGTTGAAAAACATTACAGGTCTGATGAGCGATCGAGCCAGTGTAATGAAGTCCTTTAACAAGGCCTTTGAGAAACAACGCAACGAGACCTTGGTTGACGTTGACGGTATGGAATTTCTGCATTGTAATGCCCACTTCCTTCTTGGCATGAGCTCAGCAGCAGACAAGGTCCTTAAGCAGTGGGAGAAAGAACAAGAAGAGAAGATAGGGCGTGACTGTGCAGACAAGTTCAAGAGGTTCAGCTCAAATGCTGAAAATGCTGGAGCTAGATATATAAGAACTGCATGTGACATACTGGGACCCAGAGGCGATGAAAAAAATGGATGTAAGGACTCGTGGGAAGCTTTCTGTAGCATGCAAGATCTTCATTCACTGATTACCAGCTTCAGAGGAAACAGATTTAACAATCTATTCCAGGCTGCTGCATCCCTTCACCATCACAGAAGAGAAGTCATCGATTTCTTGAAGAACTTCATGCCATCCTTGAACCTGAAGCAGGAAAGTGTATTGTATGATGCTGAATGCGATAACGTTGATGCAATCATCATATCTTTGGGGATCATCTACCAGAAGATTACTGGCCCATACTGGATCTTGATCGGCAGAGATATCACCTACTTGGACTTCTTCATGTATGTGACAGAAATGCATGATTCCTTGAAGAGGTGGGAGGCTGACGCCAGTCAACTTGCTGAAGACCAATGTCCTCCCCTTTTTGGTATCACAGTGGACAGCAATGTCTTTCCTGGACTCTACCATGGGAACAGCACCAACAAACATTCAACGGTCACCCTACTTCTCCAGAGACTTTGTGCGCAGTTCCTGGTTGTTGTAGAAAGACAGCTCTGTGATTTCTTGCCTGGTGGCAAGTACCATGACGTGAAGGATGAGCAGCAGATCGACAAGATGAAGCACTCCAAGATAACCAACCTGATTGGTGAAGCTTGCTTTGGAGACCTAGACTTTAGCATCTTCAAGCGACGACATGCATCCCTTCATCATCACAGCACCATGAACATGTTGAAAAGAAACAAGACGTCAGTTTGGTTTGACACCAAATCTGAGAAGGAGCAGGATGAGTTGCTGAAACTTTGCTCAGAGAGGTCTGAAGGCCTGCGCAAGGCACATCAAGTTGAACAATCAAGTGTTCTCAGCAAGCAAAGGGAAATCCTTGCAGCAAACAGACTGAAGAAGGAGAGAAAGGAAGCTCAACTTGCTGCTAGAAAGAAAAAGCTGTCAGAGTCCGTACACAAACACGGAGGACCCTGTCAGCGTGCAAGGGATGTGGACATACTGCTCGGACGTTTCGACAGCAATACAGAAAAGCTGCACTTCCTTAAAGAAGAAATTAGATTTCAAAAGATTGTTTTAGGTTTCACGAAAAAACATCTTAAACTGTGTGGCAGTATCGGAGAACTTGCCAGCAATCTCAAAGCCCATCTTGGTGACGAGGAACTGCCGTCAGCAGAGACAACCATGGCAGAATTTGACACGGATGAAGAAGCTGAAGCAGATGAAGAAGCCATCATAAATGATGCTCAGTTTGGCAGCTTCAGCTTTTCAAATCAAGGACAATTCATAGCTGTCTACTTTGACAATGATTTTTATATTGGCCAAGTTTTGTCTGTTGCAACTAAAGAGCAAGCAGAAGTGACCTTCCTTGAGAAGTGTCGATTGAAGAAGAACGTTTTTAGATGGTCTAAGTCAGATGTAGAGACAATTTCAGCAGCATTTGTGTTTGACTGGGACTTTGAAGTCACAACAACCAATGGCAGAATGTGGAGTATAAGCACTCTTGAGCGGTTTATTATTCTGGGCCAAAAGTACAAGGTTTACAAAGAACTTTATTGTTAATTTTTTGTATTATTGCCGATATTACTAGTAGTTTGTTAGTTGCTACTGCAACAGCTCTACTAAAACAACAAACATGTTGACAATATTAGACATTTTGACAATCAAACTAATGAAATTGAAACATTGAATTTGGCCCACTTTTGTGTCGTATGTATAAAAACATGAATTGGTATTCACTACGGTTGATTGTCCTTGTGACATATTCCATATTTTTTATTTGTACAAGACATCATTTATTACTGTAATATATTGTTATTTGAATATGTCATTGACAGACATGTGTACTATTAGTCTACAAAGTTTTACTGCTTGAATAGTTAAGGAATTAGAGAAAAAGGAAAAATTATACAAACAGGCAATCTGTTGACATTTTTCCGCCACCAAAATTTAAGATTTTGTCATCTTTGGTAGCTTCTAACAGGTTCAATTGCATTATCAGAGACCTGGAAAAAAATAGAGTTAAAATATATAACCAATTGTGTTTGGAAAATGTTTTATATGCCTTTTGCTGTCAGAAATATTCCTTTTATGGTGATGTGAAATGTGGTAAACGACTAAATTTTCAAGTTTAATTTCCAACATTTTTCAATTTTTAGAGCTCAATATTTCTGATTATATGTCCTCAGATGTGGACAGTAATTCTACAAATGGTTTAGAGTTATATATGTTTTGTTCAAATGCTTTTTGTTTGCTTGTGTTAGTCTTTGTTTTGTTATGAATTAATGCAGAACTTGTCCAAATGTAATTAAATTTGCCCACGTCTATGACAATGGATGTTCGATTGTCAATATCTCAAGAACTAATAAAGATATCTTCATAATTCTTTTTTTGGTTTGCTTGTATTCTTTGAAAGTTTAAGAAAAGTCAGTTTGTTATGTCAAAAAAGGTAGTTCAAATTTTTGCTGCTGGTACCTACTGAAAGTGAATCTATACTTCAACATCAAAGACAATACAGGCAGTGATAGAAATTAGCACTAGCACGCTAGCCCGTTAGTCCGAGCTAGTTTTGTAATGGTATTCTTAGGGCTGGAAGAATTTCGAACATTTTGGGTGTGGTCATGTACGATATCACAATTCAGGCTTGGCTTTCTAGCTAAATATATATACACGTATGGGTGTGATGAACACAAGTGATTCAAGTATTCTTAGTGATGTCATCGACCAGGAAATGCTTCAGGAAATACATCAACACATGTGGCTGGATGGCCGCAACTGTCTATCTGGACCCCACCAGCAGATCCCTGAGTGGTACTATCTCCCTCACAACAACTGTCTATCTGGACCCCACCAGCAGATCCCTGAGTGGTGCTATCTCCCTCACAACAACTGTCTATCTGGACCCCACCAGCAGATCCCTGAGTGGTGCTATCTCCCTCACAACAACAACTGTCTATCTGGACCCCACCAGCGATCCCTGAGTGGTACTATCTCCCTCACAACAACTGTCTATCTGGACCCCACCAGCAGATCCCTGAGTGGTGCTATCTCCCTCACAACAACAACTGTCTATCTGGACCCCACCAGCAGATCCCTGAGTGGTACTATCTCCCTCACAACAACTGTCTATCTGGACCCCACCAGCAGATCCCTGAGTGGTGCTATCTCCCTCACAACAACTGTCTATCTGGACCCCACCAGCAGATCCCTGAGTGGTGCTATCTCCCTCACAACAACAACTGTCTATCTGGACCCCACCAGCGATCCCTGAGTGGTACTATCTCCCTCACAACAACTGTCTATCTGGACCCCACCAGCAGATCCCTGAGTGGTGCTACCTCCCTCACAACAACTGTCTATCTGGACCCCACCAGCAGATCCCTGAGTGGTGCTATCTCCCTCACAACAACAACTGTCTATCTGCACCCCACCAGCGATCCCTGAGTGGTACTATCTCCCTCACAACAACTGTCTATCTGGACCCCACCAGCAGATCCCTGAGTGGTGCTATCTCCCTCACAACAACTGTCTATCTGGACCCCACCAGCAGATCCCTGAGTGGTGCTATCTCCCTCACAACAACAACTGTCTATCTGGACCCCACCAGCGATCCCTGAGTGGTGCTATCTCCCTCACAACAACTGTCTATCTGGACCCCACCAGCAGATCCCTGAGTGGTACTATCTCCCTCACAACAACTGTCTATCTGGACCCCACCAGCAGATCCCTGAGTGGTGCTATCTCCCTCACAACAACTGTCTATCTGGACCCCACCAGCAGATCCCTGAGTGGTGCTATCTCCCTCACAACAACTGTCTATCTGGACCCCACCAGCAGATCCCTGAGTGGTACTATCTCCCTCACAACAACTGTCTATCTGGACCCCACCAGCAGATCCCTGAGTGGTGCTATCTCCCTCACAACAACTGTCTATCTGGACCCCACCAGCAGATCCCTGAGTGGTACTATCTCCCTCACAACAACTGTCTATCTGGACCCCACCAGCAGATCCCTGAGTGGTACTATCTCCCTCACAACAACTGTCTATCTGGACCCCACCAGCAGATCCCTGAGTGGTACTATCTCCCTCACAACAACTGTCTATCTGGACCCCACCAGCAGATCCCTGAGTGGTGCTATCTCCCTCACAACAACTGTCTATCTGGACCCCACCAGCAGATCCCTGAGTGGTGCTATCTCCCTCACAACAACTGTCTATCTGGACCCCACCAGCAGATCCCTGAGTGGTACTATCTCCCTCACAACAACTGTCTATCTGGACCCCACCAGCAGATCCCTGAGTGGTGCTATCTCCCTCACAACAACTGTCTATCTGGACCCCACCAGCAGATCCCTGAGTGGTGCTATCTCCCTCACAACAACTGTCTATCTGGACCCCACCAGCAGATCCCTGAGTGGTACTATCTCCCTCACAACAACTGTCTATCTGGACCCCACCAGCAGATCCCTGAGTGGTGCTATCTCCCTCACAACAACTGTCTATCTGGACCCCACCAGCAGATCCCTGAGTGGTACTATCTCCCTCACAACAACTGTCCATCTGGACCCCACCAGCAGATCCCTGAGTGGTGCTATCTCCCTCACAACAACTGTCTATCTGGACCCCACCAGCAGATCCCTGAGTGGTGCTATCTCCCTCACAACAACTGTCACTGGCTTGTCTAACACAGCAACAGCACATTGTGTCCTCATCAAGCAAAGACAAACAAGGAAAATCCTTAGAACTTTTTAAAAACTGACAATACACATAAAAACCTTTTGCTGAACATTTACGTTCACACTGGAAAACAAATAACACAAGCACAGGGAACAGTTTTAGGGTTAATAGCTTGAGATATGAATACTGGTTGAAAGAATTTCATGACAAACTCCGAGCTTATATCTTATACACATAAAAACTGTGCCTGAACTTCAAGGCTGAACATGGCTCTTCAGATCATATTTTGTACGTTTAGTGTGATCATATGGACTATTATAAGCTGACTTCACAAGACCAAACAGAAGATTACTAGACTCAGGCTTCATACCAGTGGCTAAATTAGCAGACAGCAAACAGAAGAAGCAAACATCTATTCGCCCAAACCTATCTCTTGACACATTAATCTGTCTCATTAATTGATGTATTTGTCTTCAAAACTTATTCCAAAGGACAAGTCTTGGGCCAGGAGACTCAAAATTCTTTGGCACAGACTGAGTTACTGTCGTACTGTGATACTGATGCCAGTACTTAAGTCATTTTGTCTCTGAATATATATACTGATGGAAACAAATAGGGGAACAATGATAAATATAGGCAAATAAGCCTTACTGCCAGTACATTGGAAATAGCGTGCATACAAATTCAACACGTCAGAATCGAATGTTGAGATGTGTTTGTGTGCATTGTTTCCAACCTATATTTGGTAGACAAGGCTGGGAACCCATGATAGCATATCACCTTAGCATAGCTGTGTGTCTAAAACTAAGTGTTCCTTATTTATTTCCATCAGTATACATAATTTTGATAGAAACAAGCAAACTACATTTTAACTGAAAAGGAGCCCAAGTGAGAAGGACTTTCCTGTTGAAAATCTAGACTTGCTTCATTTAGGGCGATAGCATTACAGTAAGGTCTGGGCAGAAGTGAAAAATAATATGGCTGAGGGACTGTGAGACAGACGAGAAGGATGATGACAAACTGGAGGAATTTGTCCACAGGCCTACTGCACTATAAGTATAATGATCAATCCATTCATGTCAGGATCTTTTCCACACCCGATTGGTTGGTTGGTTGCTTTGTTGTTTTACGCCGCACTCAGCAATATTCCAGCTATATGACGGCGGTCTGTAAATAATCCAGTCTGGACCAGACAATCCAGTGATTAGTATCATGAGCATCAATTCACGCAATTGGGATTGATTACATGCATCAACCAAGTCAGCGAACCTGACCACCCGATCCCGTTAGTCGCCTTTTACGACAAGCAGAGTCACCTTTTACGGCAAGCATGGGTTGCTGAAGACCTATTCTACCCCGGAATCTTCAAGGGTTTTTCCACACCCGAACTTGCTTTGATAGTCCTGTAGGCTGTGGAATATACATGTGAGTGAGTGACTTGAGTGAGTGAACAGTATTCCAGTTATATCATGGTGTGTCAGCTTAAAGTGGGAGGAAAGCCCGAAGTGATGCAGGTCTCAGATGTTTACCACTTCGGTGAAACCCAGCACGGGTATGGTGCTGACAAACCTAGAAACATAATCCGGGAGAACCAGGATTTGAATCCACAATCAAAGCATGTACATATATATTTTATGAAACCAAAATCAAACTAGATTACTAAAAACTTGTCTTGCCAGCTCTATCATCAATATCAGGAAGAAGTAATTTTTCAGAAATGAGAAATGTATTCAGTATCAAAATAAAAAATGTCAAAATATTTGTTAGTCTAGAGCTTTTAGTATAGCAGTGTAGTAGTTTAATTTAAGGACCCTTAGTTCTTAGTTTTAACATTGGGTGCCGACAGAGACCCTCGGCATTCATGCTTAATTTGGACCAGTGCTAGCTGATCCAGTGAGACTGTGGCCTACATTCCTTCACAGATGGAGCCTGCACACACCTCATAAAACAACAGTGAGTGTGGGTTATGACTTGTGTTCCACATGTTCCTGGGGTATAACATCACCAAGCTCCCTACAACAGCTCATTGTCTGGACATGGAGTAACAGACTGCTTGCTGAATGAACATCCCTGGCAAGAAGCAACAGTGCTTCCAAACTGTAAGGGCAAAGGGCAAAGGGCAACCAAACTATGGACTAGAATCAAGAATCAAGAATCAAGAATTATGATTGTACAGAACACCCTCGTAGGGCAGGGTACATACTATCTTTTGTTTGTTTGTTGTTTAACGCCGTACTCAGCAATATTCCAGCTATATGACGGCAGTCTGTAAATAATCAAGCCTGGACCAGACAACCCAGTGATTGACATCATGAGCATCGATCCAAGCGATTGGGATCGATGGCATGCATCAACCAAGTCAGAGAGACTGGTAGAATAGAATTTATTTATTATTATTATTTTTATCGTAAAAAAAACGCCCACTAACCTGGTACAAAAAAAGAGCAATTATATGGTCCCGAGATGAGAACATGGTCATATACACAACATAGATGCATGAATTAATCTTGTCTAGTTTGGGTCCCTATGTTGGCCTCAGCTGGATCATGCGATATACAGTCCCGGCAACAAGACTTGGCCATTCTCTTGGAGGGTTTTGGTTTGGTTTGGTTTGTTGTTTAACGCCGCACTCAGCAATATTCCAGCTATATGACGGCGGTCTGTAAGTAATCGAGTCTGGACCAGACAATCCAGTGATTTATATCATGAGCATCGATCCATGCAATTGGGATCGATGACATGCTTCAACCAAGTCAGCGAGCCTGACCACCCGATCCCATTAATCGCCTTTTACAGCAAGCATGAGTTGCTGAAGAACTATTCCACCCTGGATCTTCACTGGTCCCTGGCAACAAGAATTGGCCATTCTCTTGGAGGGGACTATGTACACACATTAAATAGAAGCAGCCTCACAGATCACAAACAAGAAATATTCCCCACAAAGTCTGCCCATGATGATTAAAACCCACTGAATTTTCAATGGCGACAGCAACAAACCGATCAACTTGTTGCAGTCTGCATGATTTACTGTTTAGTTCCATTTAGAAAGTGTCAGGTTTTAATCATTGCGATGCACACTTCATGGGGATTGTGTTTTGTTTGTGTTTTGTTTGTATTTTGTGTGTATTCTTATCTAAAGTGTGTACAGATTTCAAAGATGGGTTGCTTTCTGCTGGTTTCCTGTGTGAGGCCTGATTGACTGCAGGCCTCAAAGTTGCGACTAAAACGGTAGCCAATGCGACCTAAATTTCAATTTGTCTACTGTCTAAAATTCAGGGGTAGCCAAATGACTACCTTGAAAAATATCTTGTGGCAACTAAATTCTATTGCTACACATCTGTAGACACTAAAATATACAACAGCTGATAATGGAAAAAACGTCTGCTAATAAATGTACTCGCAAATAATTCCTTCTAAAGTCGACAATGAACCAAAATACATAAAAATTAATGTAATTCATACTTTATTTTAAGTTGACAATGCTCATTGGATAAGCAAGGATATACCTATATAATCTAGCAACATAAATTGCATCATTGTTCAAGTCACAAGTAACAATTCTAGTAGTTTCCATTAATATACAATTTCAAGCCTTGTCCTGTAACGTGCACATATTATAATAGTTATTTGATGAAGATAATTTCAAATGCTTTTTGGCTACCTACAATATTGGCTTGACTTCTTGATTTTACCACTGGCTACCCGGAAAAAAATACTTGTAGCCATATCGCTACTTGGTAAAATTTAAACTTTGAGGCCTGGACTGTGAGTGTTCCCAAATTGTGGGTTCCTTGACGTATGATCGTGGAATATATTTATTTTATAAAAAAAATTAATCTAGAAATGCATACAAAAGCCAGTCTAGCCAGCTCAAGCTAGCTCTATTTCACCAGCATAGGGATTTTTTATATATTTTTAGAGTCAAGAAGGATATTGTGTAATATAAGATTTCAGAGACTAAATGTTAGTCTAGGTATGGTTCTGTAGTATTTGTATCCAGAGATCCCCTAAACCCTTCATTCTTCAACAAGGGTCATCATGACATGAGGAGTTTCAACAAACAGTGCACATGTGAACAAGTCCGGGACAGGCGACACGTGTTGGGGATTAGAATCACATAATCTGGTGAAACCTGGTTTAAGGAAGAATTACCAGAAGATGGGTGACGAGTCATGATACTTGGGCCTCGGCTAGTCGACCATTACTAATATTTGTTGTGTTAATTGTGAGATTAATAGACATGTAACCATATATTGATACACTGGAAAACAGCAATACATCTTCTCCTATCATTTCCATCAGAATGACTACCATACTAGCTGACCCAACTTAAAAACATTGGCCTTGATTAATAACTTAATAATAGTGAGTGAGTGAGTTGGGTTTAACGCCGCTTTTAACAGTATTCCAGTTATATCACGGTGTGTCAGCTTAATGTGGGAGGAAAGCCCGAAGTGATGCAGGTCTCAGACGTTTACCACTTCGGTGAAACCCAAACGGTATGGTGCTGACAAACCTAGAAACATAATCGGGGCGAACCGGGATTCGAACCCACAATCATAGGTTTCTGGCGAGCCCAAGGGACGCAACTCTGCACGGCGAATCGCGGCGCCTTAGACGACTGGGCCACCCGTGCCCCCACCAATAATAACAACGGAGATAGTGAGTGAGTGAGTTGGTGTAACACTACTTTGAACAATATCCCAGACATACAATGTGGGAGGAAATCCCGAAGTAATGCAAGTCCCAGACATTCACAACTTCGGTGAGTATAGGCATGGTGCTGACAGACCTAGAAACATGATCAGGGCGAACCAATGACAGAGATCACAAACAAAGTACAGAGGGGAATACAAAATTATGAACAAGAACACCAAGATTCAAGTTATTGACTTTTAGCTGATTTTCTTTCAAATATTTATCAAGGCAAGGAAATGTTAGATTCAGAAGACTAACAAAAATATTTTTTGACCTCGGCTTCAGACGAGTTGCAAAAGTTGCAGATTTAGGTGTCCGGAGATTCAAACTCTGTAGTGGTCCTTCGATTCAACAAGCACAGGGGCAAACTACAAGGA